TTATGTAAAATTCAATGGAAACGTCAGCTCAACTCATATCATTGTGGGAAAATTCTACTACCAGTCCTTCATCTTACACGAAATAGGGTGAATACATCTCATTACACTGATTTACTGGTAGTCTCGAAACCCTACTTTCATACGTAACGAAATTGGGTGAATACATCTCATAGTACTGATTTACTGGTAGTTTCGAAACAATACTTAAATACGAAGAACTTCAATGGAAACGTCAGCTCAAATATCATTGTGGGAAAATTCTACTACCAGTCCTTCATCACCTTACCAATGGAAAAGTCAGCTAAACTCATATCATTGTGGGAAAATTCTACTACCAGTCCTTCATCACCTTACACAATGGAAACGTCAGCTCAACTCATATCATTGTGGGAAAATTCTACTACCAGTCCTTCATCACCTTACACAAATGGAAACGTCAGCTCAACTCATATCATTGTGGGAAAATTCTACTACCAGTCCTTCATCACCTTACACGGGAAAACGTCAGCTCAACTCATATCATTGTGGGAAAATTCTACTACCAGTCCTTCATCACCTTACACGAAAAAAGTCAGCTAAACTCATATCATTGTGGGAAAATTCTACTACCAGTCCTTCATCACCTTACACGAAAGAAACGTCAGCTCAACTCATATCATTGTGGGAAAATTCTACTACCAGTCCTTCATCACCTTACACGAAATTGTAAAAGTCAGCTAAACTCATATCATTGTGGGAAAATTCTACTACCAGTCCTTCATCACCTTACACGAAATAATTCAATGGTAACGTCAGCTCAACTCATATCATTGTGGGAAAATTCTACTACCAGTCCTTCATCACCTTACACGAAATAGCGTCAGCTAAACTCATATCATTGTGGGAAAATTCTACTACCAGTCCTTCATCACCTTACACGAAATAGGGGATCAGCTCAACTCATATCATTGTGGGAAAATTCTACTACCAGTCCTTCATCACCTTACACGAAATAGGGGCCAGCTCAACTCATATCATTGTGGGAAAATTCTACTACCAGTCCTTCATCACCTTACACGAAATAGGGTGAAAACTCATATCATTGTGGGAAAATTCTACTACCAGTCCTTCATCACCTTACACGAAATAGGGTGAATACATACTCATATGATTGTGGGAAAATTCTACTACCAGTCCTTCATCACCTTACACGAAATAGGGTGAATACATCCTCATCACACTGATTTACTGGTAGTCTCGAAACCCTACTTTAATACGAATATAAGTAACGTTGTCGATTACTATAGAAAACATAATGAAAATTAAGGATATGCCAAGTGTGTATTAAGGTCGCTATTGCATAAATTCACCGAAAAAAATTGTGTCCTAACAAGCAAAACCGAATTAGGAGGAAACGAACACGGCCTATATCGCTCAAGTATAGCAAGACAGGATAGTCTATAACGCGGCAAGAGTGTAGGCATCATGGAAGAGGACAAAGAGACGGGGTGGCGGCACTAATTACTAGGCTGCTGACCATAAATTGCATGTGGCCAACTCCATTTATGACGGCTCTTTTCAGAGGGAAAGTACAGTTCTGCGCAAGGTATGAGAAAGAATGGGCAAGTTTCTCATAACATTCCGTCTAGTTTAGGGTGCTTCGGCAAGCACTAAGCCAACAGCAGAGCATTGCCTGATTCTGACAGGAGAGTGATGTTTTCCACATGAAAGCATAGCCTTCTTTCACTCTCAGCCACTGAACACGCCCCAGCAGCAAAGCAAAAACAGACTGAAAGTAAGCTAGAGCAAAACAACAATGAATTGCAGTCAATAAAAAAGATATCGTAAACTCACAGAAACGCAATAGGCTGGCGCTAATAACAGTAATAAAGGCAATAGGAATAATAACAGGGATTACGGCCGAGATGAAAGCAAATAGGTTGTGACCTCTGTTTTGGCCTCAGTCGCCTTTCGCTGGGTAGAAGCGATTTAACTCCATTTTATTCGTGTTAGAGTAGGGTTTCGAGACTACCAGTTAATCAGTGTAATGAGATGTATTCACCCTATTTCGTCTAAGCTGATGAAGGACTGGTAGAATAAGAATTTTCCCACAATCATATGAGTTGAGCTGACGATTCCATTCCATTTCACATAGCCTTGCTTTCCCAAAAGTTGTTCTCATCCAGGCACCAGTGGACTGCAGTTTCGACCTC